TTTAAATAAAAGAGAACTACAAATCCAAAGTGTTTTCAAAAGTGAAGCGTTCTCCTAATTTCTTTATTGTTTATGAATCTGTAGAGTGCCTGACTGATAATTCCTGCAGTAGGGATACCTTAACTTATATCAGCTTAGAGGTTTTTAAAGAATTTTGAAATTAAGAAGGATCAATACTAAACCATATATTTTATCTGTTCCTTGATACAGAAGAAAGCCATCTTAAGTGCTCAAGATTGGGGTTTTTTTTTGTCAATTTCCGATGTCCTGTAAACTGGCAAAAAATTATTACAGCCATATTTGCCAAAAAGTGTGGCAAAAAAGAATTTAGAGGAAGGCTACTGGGTTATTTGCATTGTTCCACTAGTCGGTGGGCTTTTTAGATGTTAATTTTTAAATGATGATTTCAGAGTTAAAGGAAATAGGGTGCCAGTTGTTCAGGCATTACAGCATTCACTAGAGGACTTACACTGGCATTATAACTGCTTACCATAAGTTAGAGCTCTATCTCCTAACATTTCAAGGTGCTGTATTATGCAGTTTTATTTCCTTCTTGGAAAGCAAGTGAGATGTCTTCTAGGAAATTACTTTTATTGGGAAATACTGGAACTTGATTAGTATTTTGGATGAACCACTTGAAATGGGAATTATGTCATTTTTAAATAAGCCTGTCTGGTGATACTAAACCTAGAAAATTGATGGAGATCAAGTCTTTGCTGCAAATGTATAAAAATATCTAGCTGGCTTATTAGCCTACAATTCACACCAGAAAATGATCTAGACTTAAAAATGAGCGTTTAGATGCTTTAAATTATATGGGAAATTTTCATATTTTTGTTCTGTATAATTTGAGCTGAACTGTAAGATCCTCTCTGAACACTTCGGAAAACAGTAATAATTTCACAAGTTTATGAAGCCAAAGCTGTGAAGTCACTGATTTCTTTGTTGAGAGTTCACACACAGTCATGAGAAGAGCGTACTTAGCTCATTTTCATACCACTGAATGGGACTCTGAGCATCTTGGAATCCTATAAGAACTCTACGACTACTATAGAAGTTTGCTATTTCACACAGATTTTGGAAAGTCTACAGACTGGCCAACTGTAGCTGGATGAGGAAGTGAATATTTGTAATAAGCATGACTCCAGCAGAATATATTTAGCAAAATAGCTTTCCTTTTGAGTCTTCTTTTGTAGTTTGTCATCATACTTGCCGAACACAATACCAAGTGTAAAATCATCTTTATCCTTAAAAAACTTCAGTATTATGGAATAACACAATTATGTCCTATTCTGACAGCATCATCAGAATAGCACAGGAATTTACTTTTTTTGGCAGAAATCTAGCAGTTTAAATAAAGAATTAAAGGTCAAAATCAATAGATGGTGACTAGATTTCAAGACTAAGTGGACTGTCACATGAAGAAGCATTTTCATTAGCATGACCATAGGGAAGAAAACCTAATGGAAATACAATCTGCTTTCCCTTCATGTTAGTTGTACATCTGAAGTCTTGAAAATACTTGATACGTTTTGTGCTTAAGTGGAGCAGAGGAGCATGCAGCTTGTCCAAAGTCACTCTCTGATCTAAAAAATAGTGTTTTTCACCCAAGTTCTTACTGCAATCCACATACACTCACAAAATGTGGAGTCACTGCAAACTATCTGCCACCCACAAACAAATGGCTAATAACTAAAAAAAAAGGTATCAATAAACATATATTCAACAACCTGCAGTAACTTAGTGATAACCTCTCTTTCATAATAATTAAGGTCACCCTCTCCCTAAGTTTTAAAGGTCCCACACTGCAGGTACAGCACTACGTACAGCAGGGAAGGACAAATGTGCCTAATGGTCACAAGACACCAACTTTAATGAAACCTGCAAGTCTGTCAGCGTAGCACCACTACTATTAATGAATTTTAAGAATCAGGTAGCACAAGTGTTTGGGAAGGGAGTTCCGAAAGAAAGTCAATGGCATAAACCACAAAACAGTCAATGATGTTCCTGTGTTCCTAAAATGTGTAAGGAAATCCCTAAAAGAACTAAATATGGGTATTCCTTTAATGTAAGAATAGAATGGCAAAGATTTTGTTCAATTTAATTCACTGTAATTGATGCTGGTGAGTCTTGCAGTCCAATGATTGGGGGAAAAAAAGATGCCTATCTGAACTATATGGCAATTCCTTTAACAACTCTTCAGCTGATATCTGAAGAGTTATTTCACCTGACAGGGTGAAATGACAGGGAAAGGAAAATTTGAGAGCAAAGCTTAGGTATTTACTGTTGAGAAGTTGAAGCGTCCCAGAGAGGTGGGGGTATGTTATCTTAGTAGATGAGTACTCAGCAAGTTTCTGATAGCAAATCATTATATAATGAATCATTCCTGTGGAGTGGTAACTTCATCAGTTGAATGAGGTCTCAATGTCATCTTTGACAGCTGCTCTTGGTCTGGTAGCAGCAGATGCTGAACATGCTCTCTTGTGCAGCACAGAATGACAGGCTGTAGCTGCTACAAGGATTTGGAGATAAGAGGGATCTGGTTGCTGACGAACTGCCAGCATAGCAGCAACTCTCGTGGCTATACCAGGTTGTTGTGGCACAGGTGACATCTTACTGCTTAGAAACAGCTGGTACCCAGGAGGTTGGATCAGGTCAGCAGATGCTTGGCTTATACCATGATGCCTTACTGCAAATGAGTTTTGACAGAGCCTGGTGACAATACCCACAAAGCCAAGGCAGGATGTTTTTTGTGCAAGCACATCAGAGCACAATTACCAGTAACTAGGGAGACCAATGCTATAATCAGCAGTCTGACATACATAACTAGAGTCAATGCTCATTAATGGGTGAAAAATCTAAGGAGTTTCTTCCTGATTTCTTGGTTTAGCAGAGTACTTTCCACAGATTTCAGTGTTTTCTGAACTTTTCAGAACATCCACAACAAATGCCTGTTGACAAGTAGCTGAGAAGTCTGAATAGTTATCCCCATGAAATGGGGGCATTGTCTGCCATCTCTGGCTTCAGCCATCTCATCTTTTGCCCAGCTCCAGTTGTCTTTGGACCCACCTCTGAGTTGATTCAATGTTTTACCAGTGGCTTATTAGGAAACAATATAATAATTTTCTTCCCCCAACTACTGCAGTAGTTTTCTCTTAGGTTGAAGAGTTAATACCGGCTCAAAAAAGCACCAGAGATGATGCAATGGGAAGTGTTGGTAAATGCATGGCTCCTAGCAGAAAACACAGTCAAGCGGCGCTTACCCTGTCTCAATTGACTCTTGGGACTGGAGTCTCAATACTCGCTCAGACAGTTGGTCAATCAAGGCTTAGACTGATGCCACTGGGGGGCCATTTGAAGAGATTTCGAAAGAAGACACTAAGACACATAAATATGCAAGACTATATTTTAATGAGCAGTTTGATTAAATCTACCTTAGGCTGGCTAATCATAGGTCATAAAAAGCTGTTTAAAATTTGTAATAAACAAAATCTTATTGAAAGTAAATGAATTTAAAGAGCTAAAAAACAGACAAGACCAAGAGCAGTCTCTCAGTAACAACTTCCAGACGCATGCTATAAAATTATGTTTCCTACTCATTATAATGACAATTAAGAGAATTTAAAAATACATATGCTACAGGCTTAATTAAAAAAATCTTACAAATACAGCATGAATGAATCAACAGTTCAAACCATGCTTTAAACTTTATTCTTAACTTCTAATCAAGAGGTTGTCCACACTTTTTTCCCCCAAGAATAAAGGCATCTATAACTTTCAGAAATGGAGACTTAGAACAAGTTAAATGATGTGGCACTAGAGCAGGATCAACAAATGCAGGTTGTTGAAACATGAATTTTTAAGGCACACAAACAAAATGTCACATTAGTTCTCCATAGCTTTTTTCAAAATCTTTTTTTTGCATCTGAATTTTCATTGCTTCTATGGTAGCATTTGACAGGATTGATAAATAGCAATGATGGTTCAGCTTTTTTTGTTTTTTGCTTTTTTTTTTAACTCTTCTTTTCTTCTTGTATGTGTTCAACAGTCAAAACTGACTGCTAACATCTGTCAATCAGCAGAGCATAACAGCACCCCCTTGTGGTTTTAACAGACTGAGGTGGAATCTGGAATTCCCATCATCACGTAAGAAATCTGTAAAGGAGAAACAAGATAAAAGTGAAAATATTCTAAAACTAGGCATGTAGTCATAAGAAATAGACAAAGGAATATTAATGCCACTATGTTAGCCCAACCTATTTAACTGCAGGAGCTGAGACGCAATTTTAGAATGGTTCTTGTGGGCCATGAGGTAGCTCTGTGCAGGTGTGGTAGCCACCGTGTCTTCATCTCTGTATGTGGTGGCAGCACTCCAAATACTTGTTCACACAGAGACTCACTTGACAGCAAGCCTCCTGGCCCACTGTTTCCTCCTCTAGTGTGGGCATAAAGGCTAATGATCCAAGTACCTGTCTGTTCTTCGCCCATGCTTCCTGAGCAGCCATTTGTCATCTCTTCTGATGCAAACGTGGTGGGTGGAGAGGATTATCTGATGGGCCAACTCTGTGCAACAAGTTAGCCTATCCAGTTTAATTAGACCATCACTTTGGCAGAGCAACTCCTTTATAATCTCAGTACTGGTATCTTTAAACTTGCTTAGATTTTCAGGAAGTGTTCCAGACTGCAAAACATTACGCTACCACTTTATTTATGAGCTGTATATTGCTTATGTGAGAATTGTTTCAGGGATCCTTCATGTAAAGTACTGCCTGATCATATTATCTACATGCTTTTACTTTAAAATATTTGTTATGAAAACTTTCAAAACATTGATCATTGCCACATTAGAAAACAGAAAGTCATGGTAATTTGCTGTATGAAGTAAACAGGTGACACTAATCAATGAAACTTAAATTGCAACCAGCCATTTCTGATGAAGGGAAAAAAACCAACCTACCACAGAAGTAATACCACTGAGATGGACTGAACTCAAACCTGATCCTGCAAGCTGAAGACAAAAGTGGCTGTTCAGACATCTCTGTATAGATTAGCTTAGTAGGCTGGAGTCTTTTTACTCTATTGCCTTTTTCTGGTAATGCTTGATACAATTTAGTTTTAAAAATCAGTTGCACTCCATGCTGTACATAGGTGCTAAAATATGCCTGGGACATACTTAATTATTAATACATGTTTTTTTCTTGCATTGTGTGGTAAAGGAGCATTATTTTAGGCATAGATACAATTGCAGTGGTAATAGAGCGGAGCAGGGGAGTTGTGCAATACTAACATTTCCTGAGTGGGAAAGCAGACTGAAGTGATGGTGTCATCTGTAGTTTCCCCCTCCAAACAGATCAACTCTACAGATAAATTCACACCTGAATATAAATGTTGTCATTTACAAGATCCCGTTTTCTCCTGCTGGATGTTTTGAAGGATCTAGCCCATGCTGCTTCATCTGCACTGCAATATCAAACAAGTAATCATAACACTCACACCTAAAATTAAAAGGAAAAAAAGTGAAGTGTAAAGTAAGGCTTAAGTCTTACCATGTTTTATGAAAATTAATAGTTTTCTTCCACGAGCTTTACATCAGCAATACGACGGTCTGACTGGACAGCTCTATTATCATTTATTTCCATTATGCGGTACGTAAAATGCCCAGCATTTTTGCTACATGATCGTGATTTGCTGCATTTCCATCAGAAATAAAGAAGTAAATTCCAAAACTAGGACTAGGGAGGACTACCCAAACAGTATTGGTGGGTGTCATGTAAAAGCAGAGATTGCCTCCAGGTTTCATATGAGAAGGGACTTGTCCATACAAAAGGAAAATGTTAGAAACCCTATCAGCCAGCACTGATATGAAAGGAAAACCAAGTGGTGGAGTCGTGTAAACCCATTCTCAAAAGCTCCCTACACATTCAGTGAGGCCAGAACTTAATGTTATGAATCATCGTCCATGGGTTGGAAATACACATGACATTAAGGTCATTAAGATTTTGAGGTATAATAGCAAAAGATACCCTATTTCTAAATTGTACTCACATTGTTTTGGCTTTTTCCCATGTTTCTCCCCATACATAAATTCCATGACGTCTGACCAATACAGCACAAGAATCTGGGTATTTTTCCATCGCATGTGCCATTCTCTCCTTGAGATCCTTCTCTTCTGGTGTATTCTCAATAATGGGAACCACCAGTGTATCATCGTATCTAAAAGAAAGATTAATGTTCATGGATTTAAAACGCTGTGTTTGGATGTTTGAAGCCTTTCCCTAAGAAAGAGATTCTCCTTTGTGTAAAGATGTTAATAAATTCTCAACACTATTGATTTTACACTATTCTCTTGTAAATCATGCTGTAACATAAGAACTCTCAGGAACGTCTCTCACTCCCAGACATATGCTATGCTGGCAATACCTGAGTTACACTTGAGGCACAAAAAGAAAGTAACACTTTAATGTAGTAGGTGTAGCTGTTTATTCACTTATCACTTTGCAGTTGGGTCCCTTTGCAACTTTTTCAGACTATCCTCATCCTGTATTGGCATCATCTACAAGCTTTATCTCAGATTAAATTATTTAAAAGAATCACATAATGAAGAAGGAAATTAAGCTGTTTGCTGGAGAGCAGAAAAAATTTATTTAGGTAGTCCAAAAAGCCCCTGGAAATAAGACTGTCCTGCTAAGGTATATAAATAGAAAGTAGAGTCAACACATGAAAAATAAATTCTCTGCGATGGAGTCATTGGTGGGCTATATGTGATTTTAAAAGAACTTGAGAACCCCAGTTCCAAAGACAAGATGATACATGTTACTCAGTGGAACTTGCGTAAGAGTTTCTTCTGGCATTGTTTGAACCTTAATTAACACTGGCAGAAACTTGTTTAAATTTAGGAAGTCCCCAGTTCAGGTTCAAATTTATCATTGAGATCACACAGATATTTCATGAGTGGATGCTAGTAGTACTTACTTCTATAAAACACAGAGAGAAAGCAATTGTAAAAATAATACAGCTTGTACTTCAAATCAGATATTCAGAAAATTAGAGAGTCTCATCCCTTAGTGTTTTCAATGCTGATGCTTTCCCAAAGAAGTCTATAAAAACAGTAAATGAAGAAAATTAAAAGAAAATTGGGTTTTGTAGGTTTAGTTTGATTCTTCCATATTCTGATCATTAAAATTAGATTTGGAGTGTTTACTACTAGTGAGGCCGAATGAGGTAAAGGATTGGTTTCCTAGGTTCTGCTTTCTGCTTGGACATGAGTTCGGAAGCAGGTATAAATACCATAATGGATTCCTAAACATAACTAGAAGTTTTTTATCAAGATATCTATAAAACCCCAAGAAGACTCTGAATGAGTTAAATACTTGATATCTCTTTAGTTTTATTGAAATATAAGCTGCCTACATTTAGTCAAACCTTTATATAAAATATCTTGGGATAATCTGAGACTTTCAAAGCTATTTACTAACAATCTAGTTCTCACTACAGATCTAGTTCTCCTTCTACTGAAGTAAAAGGTAAAACTGTTCTGGCACTCTGGCAAATGATCTGTCACTCAGATCATATTTAGGCCAACAAATACTTCTGGTTATCCTATCTGTAGCATTTTCCTGGATAGCTTCCAGAAAAAGTTTATGTAATTAGAAACAATATACTGTCAATCCCTTTTTTGAAAGATTCCATTCTGTACTATTGAATTTCTTTTGAATTCAATGGGGATCCTTGTATGAGGCAAGACAGTGGAATCAGTGTAGCACGGACAAGTATGTACTTAAGAACCATGTAATCTGGAGCTGTTATTTCTTTAGTTTTTCTGGTAAACTAACAGGATGACACAGGACAACTTGGAGATACGGAACCCAATAAATACAATGTCTCCTGACTAACATTTAGGAATGTTTGAGAATTCAAAATGCACATCCAAAAAAGAAAACTGCTGTGGATTTTTTTAAAACCAGTGTTGTAAGACAATTCAGTATAAGGTGTGTCTTTTGCCACACTAAAAATACAAATGCTAATGCTAACAAGAAGTTAAAGCTGGCAAGTCAACCAAAACTGAATAAAATATGCCCGAGCATAAAATTGCACGTCCGACATATGGCTTGCTCTCTTGCCAAAGGGAAATAGTTAGTTACAAAAATTAACATCAAAAAGTGGAAAGAATTTAGCATTTCAATTTTTCATTGAATTGTCACATATTACATAAATGTTGTTTGCGGATCCCAATTCAACACTCTGTGGGTGGAGTCCTCAAAACAAGCCATCACACATAATTTGGAATAACTCAGCACTTACCTCAGAGCTCATCCTTGAACAGTAATAACATTATCTTTAATGAGCTGTTTATTCTGAATTTCCTTTCAAAGTCTGTCAAGTAAAACCTGATATTCTCTACTCTTTTAACATGCCCTAAACTAGCACAGGCAGTGTTATGTGAAGTCCACCCAAATGTAGTTTGTACGTTACTAATCCAACGTAATGTTGGTTGGCTCCAGTTTCAATTTAACATTGTATAGATATGTTAACATCTCTGTTCTTGAGATATTTGTCAGGACATAGCTCTTTATTTGGTTTGTTTCTGTAGCTCAACAGATCACAGAAACCTTGACATTACAAGATTTTGTCTCAGATCTCTTCCATAGGCTTGAGACCTTCCTAATACTTTACATTACATACTTTGATGCATGTAACTCAAATGCCCTGTTATCTATTTATATTGCTGAAAACAAATCATCAACTAGCATGCCTCTTTTCTTAAATATACAGAAGTACCGATAATATCCTCCTGAAGTACACTTCTGGATTCCTTTTATCATCTCCTGATGGGTAATAGTGAACTCACTCCCTGGGTAAAGAAGGGTAGCCATAACAGCAGCCTTGGAATGAGTATGGATAACTGCGCCTGCCCCTAAGAAGAGAAAAAGAAGAAAAAAATATATTTTTAGAATTAATTTTAAAATGTGTCGATTAAGAAAATTTTATTCACATACTTGATTCATTTCCTTTGGCTAGGCATCTTAGCAAATAGTGTATTAGAGGAAAAAAATATACAGGAACCTAAACAAAGGTATGAGATAATTACTTATCTTTACAGGATAACTATGGATTGTCTTAGGACACCAGTGTTAACTTTTAGTTAGTGACGAATTCCAGGACAGAAACTACTTGCACAAATTCAAGGAGAAACACTACTTGTACATTTCTTTACATACTGCAATGACTTAAGAAGTCTACTAATTTTATCAGTCCTGAGATTCTAAAGAATTTGCATATGTATTTGTGAAATGTTTAAAAAACTTTTACTTTTTTTTAATGCTAGTACTTTTCTTTGATTACCCACTGATTCTCTGAAAAAATATTTATTGTTATCTTATTGTGTCATGATGGATAGTTGGACAATAATTATAAATCATTTATAAAGTTGTAATGTTGCCAAAAATATGAAATGAGTTTTCCTTAGGTACACAGAGAATCACAGAATACTTTGGGTTGGAAGGGAGCTTTAAAGGTCATCTAGTCCAACCTGCCCTGCAATGAGCAGGGACATCTTCAACCACGCCAGGTTGCTCAGAGCCCCATCCAACCAGACCTTGAAGGTTTCCAGCAACAGGGCACCTACCGCCTCCCTGGGCAACCTGTTCCAGTGCTTCACCACCCTCATCGTAAAAAAATTTCTTCCTTCTATCTAGTCTGAATCTACACTCTTTTAGTTTAAAAAGCATTAGCCATTCTCCTATCACAACAGGCCCTGCTAAAAGGTTGTCCCAATCTTTCCTTTAAGTACAGAAAGGTCACAATGAGGTCTCCCCTAAGCCTTCTCTTCTCCTGGCTGAACACCCCCAAATCTCTCAGCCTGTCCACACAGGAGAGGTGCTCCATCCCTCTGATTATTTTTGTAGCTCTCCTCTGGACTTGATCCAATAGGTCCACGTCTTTCCTGTGCTAAGCGCTCCATAGCTGGACGCAGTACTCCAGATGGGGTCTCACCAGAGCAAAGCAGAGGGACAGAATCACCTCCCTCAAGCTGCTGGCCACAAATCTTTTGATGCAGCTCAGGATATGGTGGGCTTTCTGTGCTGTGAGTGCACATTTTAAGCTCATACCCAGCTTTTCATCCACTAGTACCCCCCAAGTCCTTCTCGGCAGAGCTGCTCTCAATCCCTTCATCCCCAGCCTGTATTGGTACCAGGGGTTGCCCTGACACAGGTGAAGGACCCAGCACTTGGCCTTGTTGAACTTCTTGAGGTTCCTACAGGCCCACTTCTCAAGCTTGTCCAGGTCCCTCCAGATGGCATGCCATCCCTCAGGCATGTCAGCTGCACCACTCAGCTTGGTGTCATCTACAGACTTGCTGAGGGTGCACTCGATCCCACTATGTCACTGATGAAGATAGTACTGGTCCCAGTACGCACCCCTGAGGCACACCACTTGTCACCAATGTCCATCTGCACATTGAGCCGTTGAGCACTGCCCTCTGCATGCGACCATCCAATCAGTTCCTCCTTCACCAAACAGTCCACCCATCAAATCCATACCTCTCCAATTGTTGTGAGGGACAAAGGCTTTAGAAAACTCCAGGTAGACAACATCTGTGGCTCTTCCCTTGTCCACTGATGTAGTCACTCCATCATAGAAGGCCACTCGTTTGCCCTTGCTGAAGCCATGCTGCCCATCTGAAATCACCTCCCTGTTCTCCATGTGCCTTAGCATGGCTTCAAGGAGGATCTGTTCCATGATCTTCCCAGGTACAGAGGTGAGGCTGACAGTTTGGTAGTTCCCAGGGTGCTCCTTTCTACCCTTTTTAAAAATGGGTGCGCTTTTTCCCTTTTTCCAGTCCCTGGGGACTTCAGCCTGACTGCCATGACTTTTCAAATATCATGGAGAGTAGCTTGGCAACTACATGAACCAATTCACTCAGCTTACATAAACTTCTGGTTCAGGAAAATCAGAATGCCTAAATACTTTCTAAAGCAACAGATACAAATCTTACACAACAGCAAAAAGCTTTTTATCACTGTCCACCTGCAAAAGAAAAGTTTCATACTTTTTTTCACCTATCCAAAATTTAGAACCTTTTATCACAGCCAATGGTTGTAAAAGGATCCAAACCACAGTTGCTGAATAGGCAAAACTGCTGGTATAAAAATTCTGTAAATCTCCAGCTCCTCCCACAATCTACTAATATACTGCACTAAAAATTAGCGCCAAAAAGATGATGTATAGCCACATGAGAAGATTAAAATGTAAATGACACCCACAGGATGTTATCATGGACTACATTCCATTGTACATATTCCTTTGCAAAACAATTTATTTTATAGTTTCATGTTTATTTCACTGTAACTTCCATGTATAAAGAATATGTTTTTGAATTTCAGATTTGTGGATATGTATATACAGTGTTTCAGTCATCACTAAAAACATTTGCTACACACCTCTCATAATGTAGGCATTCATAAAAAGAGGTGAGCACTGGCTTTTCTTTAGTTTCTTGTGCGGTGGTGGACTACTGATGTCCTGTTCTTTCATGTCACAAACAAACAGATCTTCTGGCTGTAAGAAAGAAATTATTTTGACCTGTGAAGACCCAAATAGTTTTGTTTTCCTTCTAGGGAGACAAATATATTTAATATTGAATGTGATTCAACTTTGTAAAAGTGCTGTAATGTACCGCATTTATTCTAGCTTCTAATAATATTTACTGACATTGTGTAATGTGAATTAATATTGGGTACTCTTTTTATTCAGACTGCTAAAAAGCAGATATTTGTAAAAAAATTTGTATTTTCTCAGAAAGGAGTCAGCCTATATCTTAATAACAGACAACAGCTCAAAAGAAAAAGTAGTAACTGATTCAAAAAAAGAAATGTAGATGCACTTTTCCTTCCCCCCTAAAGAACCAATGAAGGGCATAAATATATGTAGGTTTAATTCAACTTGTAGAATTTTTTCAAACCTTGTTTTTAGCAGCTTTACATGAATTTTACCTTTGCACCAATCAGCTACTCATAACAGTACGAAGAACTGTTCAGGGCAG